TTTTTCATCTAACGTTTTTCCGAATGGACATTTTAACTCATGAGAAACGTTTCTAAAAATCGGTTATAAAACGTTTCGGAAAAACGCTTCTAAAACGTTTTTGAAACGTATATGTGCTACTTGGGATGTTCTTTACAAGGATATGTGAAAGTGTAAGAATCGAGTACTTCATCCAGAGTTAGATTGAAGACGTCAACATCAGAAGAGTATTTGGCAAAGGACGCTTCTATGTAACAGATGAGATGAAAGAAACGGAGATTTGCATGAATAAGACCACCGCGTGATTTCATGTCAACCAATTGTGACACCGAAGATTCGCAATTGGTCGTTCTTACGGCTTCTTCACATGCAGCACAGGAATTATATTTGGTAAGGATTTGTTTGCACAGGTAACCTGGAAAAACAATACAATAACTTTCAACCATTATTTTCAATAGAAACATCCTGCCACTAAAGCAAAAGAACATGAATTCTACGACGACACAACCGTGAAGCGAGGTGAAAAATCTATAAGCCATGCAATGGTTAGTGCAGTATAGCGAGCGTTGTTATGAGTGTAATACAAACCTACGTTTTTATCTCAACAAAATACATTTCGTGGAATATTGATTAAAATATAAAACCTGTCACGTAGTAGATAACACAATCGAGAATAGGGGAGAGGGTATAATTATGTTCGGAATGAAGATCAAAAACGTCGTCCGCCTCCCAATCGTATTGTAATACTTGGTCTAGTTTTTCCTTAATTTTTCGCTGATATTCCGCACTTTGTCTTTCGCGTTTGTTGCCGTAAATAGCCTTGATTTCGTTAATCGAGATCAATGTTATCGGCTTTGCATCGGACGAAACAGTGCAATTGCCATATTTCGGAGGTTTAATCACGCTGTATACCGACAACAATTTGTATAATTGTAAAAACGCCGGACAATTTGAATGATCGTTGCATCCCGCGCATTGGCGTCCCACATAGCATAGCGACATCACAGTGCTATCAGTGTGATATATGTTTAAGGATATCCCATATCCCAGAGATATCTTGAGATATCCAAATTACATCAGTGTGATATCACGGGAATATCCAAATGTCCGCCTTTTATCACATCTCAAGTTAATATTTAAGAAACATCTTTGTGATGTCCGAAAATAATGTTAATGTGACGTAACATGCAATGGGACGTAACAAAGACGTCCTTGCGATATCTTTTTATTCTAAATCTTTTTATTCTAAAAAGAGATCGCAAGGACGTCTCTGTTACGTCCCATTGCATGTTACGTCACATTAATATTATTTTTTCTAAATTAACATTATTTTCATTCTAAAAAGATATCCCAAATAGCACAAGTCCGTCCTGAACGCAGAGTTGCCAGCGGGGACGCGTTTTCTTACGCATGCGTGGGAAAGCAGTGCCGTATGTGACCGGGTAACCCCCCACAGAGCACAGCGACATCACAGTGATATCAGTGTGATATCTGTTTAAGGATATCCCATATCCCAGAGATATCTTGAGATATCCAAATTACATCAGTGTGATATCACGGGAATATCCAAATGTCCGCTGTTACGTCCTGTGGACTCCATGATTTCTCTCTTTCAAAAACCATAAGAGGCATGTTTTCTTCCCTTGGAAACTACAATCTTATCAATCAGCGGATATCGACTAGACAACGCACGAGTCCCTTCCCCACAAAAAATTGATTACTAGAGTTTCACTTTTCGAAACTCGAAACGTAAGGTGCTCTGATTGTTGCTGGTCGATAGCCGTTGAAATGATAAAAAGGGAAGAGATAACAGACAGGGTGGGATCAGGCCCTTTCAGACGGCAGTTTCGAAATGCAGAAGTAGGGTATATAGGCCGGTTCTAATTCGGGAGCTCCGAGGGGGGAGCGGGGCGGGGGGGTACCCCGCGGCGAGGGGACAGCGGGGAGGGGGGTACTCCGTGGCGAGGGGACCGCGGGGAGGAGGGAAGTACGCGACCTTGACGTCACGCAAGATGCTGACCTGTCACTACGTGACATGTAACAGATATCTAGGTGCTGACCTGTCATCGAACACCTGGACGGGTATGAGTCACGGGGTCAAGCGCCGAAACCTGGCTGATGACTTTCTTATCAAGGTGAACGATGTCGAGGAGTTCCGCGTTTATTATTCCGCAGCGCTTGGCTATCCGCGGAGGCGCGGGGAGGGAGATATTCCGCGGCGATTCGCGGGGTCGCGGGGAGGGGGAGGACCGCGACGCTACGCGATCCGCGGTGGTGCGGGGAGGACCGCGGTGCTACGCGATCCGCGGCGCGGGGAGGTCCGCGGCGCGAGGCAATCCGCGACACATGCATGTAATAGATATCACCGGGGGATGACGATATACAAATGATTAGCGCAGACACACAGCTGCGCGCATCCATGGCATGAGTCATGAGGTCAAGCGCCTAAACCTGGCTGCTGACAGCGACTTTTTTGTCTAGGTGTGTGATGTCGGGGAAGTTCCGCGTTTAAACTCGCACCTACTGCGTCAGCATGTAATAGATATCACCGAAGATGCCTCTGATTACCACCGACACAGCTGCGCGTATTCTTATTTTCCATGTTATGAGTCACGGGGTCAAGCGCCTAAACCTGGCTGCTGACAGTGACTTTCTTATGATATATAATCCGTCCGGAAGCCCGCTGCACCACAGTAGGAGATTTCATACGAGATCGAGAAGAAAAACATTGTGGACAGTATAAAGTCTGAAAAGACGCTAGCGCGACAACATGGAACAACGAGAGCAAGATCTGGTGGAACAAGCCGACAGGATCACCACATTAGGTGATTATTTGGGGTGGCTGCAACAATGCTACGAAAGTATCGCAGAGCTAGAGGAACACAGCCGTGTCAAACGTCCAAGGCTATCCATCGGTAACAGACAATCGCTGGTGGCTCGAATCGCGCGACTCGAGAGTGTCAAGTGCCGAGTTGAAAGGCGATTTGTACATTTCGGGGGTGGCGGTGCAGGGCCTTCTTCGAGAGTGCAACTGTCGTGGCGCGAGATCGACACCGCGTTCGAAAACCGCGTGCTTACCGGTGCGGTGATTAACACGGAGTACATTGAACCGCGCAAATTTCTCGAGGACGCTCGCGATATCGTGATCGAGCACGTGCGAGACGCTATCGAACGCTATAATTGTGTAAAGGCGAATACCGCGTTCAACGAGGAGTTTGTGGCAGGTGACAAACGTGCGAATAAAAGCATAAATACAAAAAACTGTGAACTGTTTATCACAACGGACCTACAACTGTGGTACGAGTCGCGCGTAATCGGTCCGACTCTAGTCGAACTCGAAGAGTTTCAGGAGCGTGATAGTGGGTGGGCGCTGTCGCGTATACTCAACTTGACTATTAACGTGAACAAATGCAATCCTATGCGCGCGGGATGCCATATAGACATGCCAGAAGTGGTGAAACGAAAGAAAGCAGTGATCAACGTACAATCCAGGGACAATGCGTGTTTCGCGTGGTCGGTGGTCGCCGCTCTCTATCCGGCTGAAAGAAACGTGGAGCGCGAATCGTCGTATCCACATTACAGTGATGTGTTAAACCTGCGAGACGTTCCAATGTCGATGACATTAAGTGGTATCAAAAAGTTTGAACAATTGAACAGTATTTCCATCAATGTATACAGCATCGATGAAAAGAACAATTGTGAACGCGCAATCGTACCGCTACGAGTTGCTGACGAGAAGAAGGAGAAGCACGTGAACCTATTATACCTGCAAGATCAGGAGGGTGCCGACGTGGGCCACTTCGTCTGGATAAAGAATTTATCCCGCCTCGTCAGTTTCCAACTCAGCAAGAAGGAGCACAAAAAGCACATTTGTGATCGGTGAGTATCGACAAGATTTGTGAAACTTATTTTATTTGAAAAAATATATATGGTATTAAAAATTTTTGTCTTTCCAGATGTTTGCACTACTTTAGCTCCAACGTCAAGTTGCAAGCTCACAGCGTGGACTGTCAACAGATAAATGACTGCGCGATCATATTACCCAGCGAGGAGGACAAGTGGCTCAGTTTTAACAATCACAGTAGGAAGGAACGTGTGCCGTTTGTCGTCTACGTCGACTTGGAGTGTATCCTGAAAAAGATGGATACGGATCCGAAGACATCTCAGCACCATGAAGTATTTAGCATCGCTTATTACCTGCACTGCTCATATGACGACTCGCTATCAACATATCAGTTTCGTCGTGACACGGATTGCATCGCATGGTTCGCTGACCAACTAGAAGAATTAGCATATCGTGTAAAGAATATTCTGTCGAGTAATGTTCCCATGCAAACACTTTCGAAAGAGCAGTATGAGAAATTTAATAGCGCCACGCACTGTCACATATGTGAGAAACCGTTCGCGCCAGACGACACTCGGGTGCGCGACCATTGCCATCTAACCGGACAATATAGAGGCCCCGCACATTCAAACTGTAACTTAAATTACAAAGATGCGTATTTCATTCCAATCGTTTTTCATAATTTATCCGGCTATGACGCACATTTCATAATTAAAGAAATCGCTACCGCGTTCGAGGGCACAGTTGATGTATTACCGATAACGAAGGAGACATACATTTCCTTTACAAAAAATGTAAAAAGTACCATAGAAAACTCAAAGCGGCAAAATTGCATAAAGCTGCGATTTATTGACTCATACAAATTTCTGAGTACCAGCCTCGATAGATTGGCATCGTTTCTTCATAGAGACAAATTAAAAATTGAACGATCTGAATTTTCAACATTATCCAGCGACGATTTCGATCTATTGACA